GCCTCTGTCCAGCCAAATATTTATTCAGTCATGTGCCTTTGCCCTGCCAGAATCAGGCCTGGGGTCCCTGCTACTTCCACCTAGCCAGGGTCAGTCTCCCAGGCCCCATGCCACCAGTGCCTGGCCGGATCAGGTTCAATGGGCCCTGGGCCACTCCTTGAACACTAGAAACAGGTCCTGCACTGTCCTTCACACACAATGTAGCATGCAGGGCCACAGCCCACAGGGATCCTTACAAGATCTGTGGGAAACCCAGCAAGCTAGGTGACATGGCACTGGAGGCCCAGATCTAGCTGTAGGCCAGGGTTGAGCACCACTGTTGTAAAGCTTGGGTTAACAGACATACTCCAATGAGACCTGAAGAAGACTGAACTGTATTTGAAAGCTTGCGTATGTCTATCCCAACTATTGGTCCAATAAAAAAATATCATCCACAAAAATCCTTGCCTCTCCAATGAGCTTGTCTATTCCTTCTTTATTTGTGTTTGGTTTTTCGTTCAATATATTCCATCCTATTCCAGTACACTGGAAATATAAGACCTGCTCTAATTAAGTGCCTGGAGTATCTTGTGTATCAGCATTCCCATGCTTCAAAATGGCTGTGGGAGCGCTTTATGTAAAGCTTGTTCAACAAGCTTTAAATAAAGCACCCCCGCCACCATTTTGATGCAGGAGGCTGCTGGAGCATGGTAATTGCCACACTCCAGCAGACCTAATTAATCAAGTCTACTCCAACATGCTGGAATCTCAGCGCGTCTGAGCAGACTCCTTGCTTGTGTATAGGCACTCCATATGCTTAACTTCATGAACCCGGTTAAATGCTGTGCTGGATTAAGGCCAGAGTGACCGATACCTCTAATAGATCAAGCCCTGAGGCACCAATTTTTGAAACATACTGGGCATGCACAGCACAGACCTTAACTAGTGGAATAGGTAGGCCTCCAGCCTGTAAGATAAGGATTTACCTTTTATGTATATATGGAAGAACTACCCACGCATGCAAAGTTACTTATGTATGTGAGATTTTGTTGGATCAAAGTCTAACCACCTCATTGGCAAATGAATACAGCAAAACAGAGGTTGAAAGCATGGCCCTCTGGGTTTATTTGACTGGAAAAATAACCCTTTATAGTGTGCTATGATTTTCAACCCTCATCTCTCACGATGTAAGGAATTCCTCCTCCTTCTAATATCTTGATCCAAACTGTGCTTACAATACATGAGACATGCCCAAGGAAACTGAAAGACAGCTGTGTTTGTTTCTTTTTTAATTTGATGAAAAAAGAAACTTCTGGAGGACTAATTTTTACTGGCAAATCCATAAAGCATGGAGTGTTGTTTTAAAAGCTAAGAGAAGAGTTTTATCCTATAAAAACAAAATGAGAAACTTGATCTAATTAATTTGATGAGATTATTCTTGACTGCTTCACGCTAAACCAAAAAAAAAAAAAAGTAGGAATTTTCAGTGCTACACAACAAATAGGTCACTGTGACTTCAGCTGATTTTTAAAAACAAATATTGAGATTCAAATTCATGGCAAACTTTGCAGATTAGCAGTAATGTCTATGACTGGGTGTTGTCTAAGCATCACCACAAGGTACAGCTAGTGGCCCTCAGTCTGACACCTCTTATTTCAGTCTTAAACCTCTGCTGGACATATGTACAATCAAACCTCCTGAAATGACTGGTAGTTTTGTGGTTGGGTCCACTATGGACTAGGTGTAAACAGAAAAACATATTCTTCTACATGGCAGATGCCAATTTCTTGGAAACACAGCGGAGTGGGGAGGGGGGATGGTAGAGGAAGGGGGACTGGCCTGGCCCCCACCTGGCTGGGATGGGGTAGGGCCAGCACCTAGGGGGGAAAGTGGCATAGCTGGCCCCAAACTAACTGTGAAGGGAGAGGGAGTGTGGCTCAGCCCCAATCTGACTGGGCAGAAAGAGAGGGCATGGTCTGGCCCAGAACCAGCTGCACAGTGGGAAGGGGTGCAGGGAGAAGAGGGCAGTAGGGAAAGTGGTAGTATTAACTGCCACTGCTCCCCCAGTGCCAAATTTCCCAATCTGCGGGGAGTCCCTTTGGCCAGATTCCAAGGCTTCATGGGTTGCATTTGGCCCATGGGCCAGAGGTTGAGCATCCCTGCCTTAGGCTAGCAAGGGTACTGACGCTGAATTCGTGCAACAAACAAAACTTTAAAAAATGTATATATACACAAAATATAGTGGACACAATGTCCAGATAACCAGAAAAGCAACCTGTGGGCTTAAAATTCATACAAATGATAAAACAAGACTGAAAACAGAATCTCCCTCCACTTGCTGATGTTGCAGGGGCCCTTGAACCCTGCCCACAGACTGCCACAGTATGTTACCAACTGTGCAGTATCCAGCAGTAGCCAAGAATGTTTAACACGCAAAAACAAAGGAAAAATTATCACATCCAATTCTAAAACCAGCATGCTCTGTCTGCTGCCTTTCTAGATGTTGTCAAAAGGGGACAGACCCCAATAGTCAGTAATATATGTGAAAACACCATCCTCTCCCTGACCTCGATGTTTTAATGGATGGTGTTAGCGATTATGTGTTGTGGTACAATGGACAGGAGAAACAGATATACCCCTCCCATTACTGAAAACTGGAGATGCACGTCCCATTCCATACCCACAAGATAAAGAACAAGCACCTACAAGAAAAGCCATCAAAAATTAACATTTGTGTGGGTTACAGGGAAAACTATATTAAAGATGAATAACTGCTCTATATAGTTGCCCTTTATTTTAATGGTAGCTTTTAAGCAATGAACCAGAATTCCCCAAGAAAAAGCAGTGGGGCTATGTGTGTGCGCTGATTAATGTCAGCAGTTCATTTTCCTGGAAATGGGATGCCCAAAATGCCATTGTTTCTATTATAAATGTTCATCTGTTCTGGTTTCAGCTTGGTTTTCATGTGTCTGCGTTGCTTAGCTGACTTCTTGTTAATAAACAAACATTCCCAGCCGACATGCAAGTAAATTAAAACAACAGCGTAGCTGTAATCCTCCAAACTAGATTTTTAAAATTATTGAAAAAAACTGTATGGCATATAAAAATCTGGAATAGTCTTATAAAGAATCATGGAATTCTTAATAGCTGCCATTCATATCAAACAAGAATTTAAATAAGGGATTCTTGTTTCCTCAAAATGCTTCTATTTATGTGAAAGTAGAGACAATACCTACACAAATATAGCCCCTAAGTTAGAAGCATATTTAGTTACCACAATTATTATTTTTTATTATTATTTTGCAAACATCCCCTTTACAAGCTCAATGTTGTTATTTTATAATTCCTGGTCAGAATTAATCACTTTATTTAGTTACCTCAAACAACAAGGTATCTTTTTACATTTATTTCATTTTACTTCAGACCCACGTTTGCTAAACTGAAAATACATTGCTACGTAAACTATCACAAAATAAAATAAATATATGTATTTATAACCCTTTTTCCCTGTAGAATTTAAGTGCTAATTATACTGTTCATGCTACAGAATATTTATTGGAATGTCAGTAATGTGTTTTTAGACAGCAGCAGATGTAAATGTAGACCATCATATTTAAATGTGTATTACGGAGAAAACAACATTCTGCTCTAGGCAAAAATACACACATGGGAAATTTCTTTCCTCTCCTAAGTGAATTATGTATGGTGAAAGGATTTTCAGTGCTACGTGTTATGCCATAGGCAAGCAGATTTGCACAGTAATACATGTATTTTCTATGTAAAAATATATGCAAATACAGTGAGCTACAAAAGGTGTATATCTAGGATGCCAGCGCTACGCCCATATCCTATCTATTTATAGAAATAAAATGAGGCAGATTCAGAGGTGGGAAAAAAGGAGACAACTAAAAACATCAGCCCAGAAAAGCAAAGTTGACAAGGAAAGAGAGATTCACTGGCTTGCCTTAGCTGTTTCCACACTTCAAAAGTAGAAAGCGCTAGAGAAGTATTGCTATTATTAGTTCTTCAGATCAGAGGCAGACAGTGCGTGGCATTGTTTTAAGCTGTTGCCGAGATGTTTTATAGTTTATATACATACAGGTATTGCATATTGAGAATTTTCCAATTTAAGAAGACAATACACAGACACACACACACAGACCGTGACTGTGAGTACTCACAGCTCTGAGTACAGGAAGTGCAGATTGCCCACATTGTCTATGTAGTTTGCAGGACTTAGCCAAGGTAGAACCAATAACAGAAGAGCCTTCATTTTCAGTGTAAGGCTGGCACTGCTGCTAGGTTTTCTCCTTCCCACTTTCTCTCTTTCTGTTGATGGGACACAGAACTTCAAGCTTTTGTCAGCCAAGCCCTTTCTAAACGAGCCTTTCCATTTCAAAACAATGGTAGCCCATTATGAATCAAAATTAAATCCCTTAAACGAAGCTACGCTGAAAAATCATTGACCTGTAAGAGGATTACTTGATTTGATTCTCAGATGGGTGGATGTGAGGGTTTAGGGACAGCACAGCATGGTTGGCGAGACAGTGACTTATGCTGCAGAGCAGGATGATGCACAGGAAAGAGACCTGCCTCCTGCAGTATTCAGAGTGGTTCTTCAGAAGCAGCTGGTACATTTACATCATTGGCCAGAAGCAGATGGGGTAGGAGCTAAACTGCATCAAGGAAGGGTCTAGTCTAGTAGTTTGTACATGGAGAGGGGCGGGGATGGGGAGGAGGGGGGAGCACTCCCATGGAGTTCGAATACAAACTATGTAAGAGGGTCACACCTTTTTAAAAAATAAAACACCACAGAGGATCAGGGTAAGTTCCCAAAAAGGCAAACACAGTCAGACATTTTTGTACAAATACATTACGAACCAAGGACACCTTCTGAGTGAAAAATGTACATATAAAAACTAGTTATCAACGAGCATATTTTACATGAATGTCCATGCTGATTCCAATGAGACATTAAAGTTCCCTAATTAATTACATGCACAAACACACAACAGACTCACCTAGTTCCATCGATGACTTCATTTCTGATCAGGACTGAGCTTTCTCTTTGAGAACAAGGATCATTTTGAGATTGATTTATGCAAGAAGAGAGCATTTGCTGGGTATTCTGATATTTCTAATTGGTTCCGTTGTGATTTATTCACCAAAAGCTGTAGTCACATTTAGTTGAGATTTCAGACCACGGTTGGTCCAGTCCTCCACGGGCATCAGACTAATTTATTAGCAGAGTCACACACCTTCTCCCACCTATTGATTTACCAGTGTTAAAAAGAACACTGTCATTTCAATCTGCACTGTGCCTAGGCATTGCCAGACTCCTTGCCTGAAGAGCACGCTGCCCTTCTCGTCTCCTGCACTATTAAGAACTGGAAGTCAGATTGCAAGCAGGGTTTCTGCACCTCAGTAGACTGAATTAGTCAAATGCATGAATATTTCGAGTGATAATTGCCAGTTGGCTGTACTTTAACATACAGCACCCTGCCAGGTATCTACAAATACAGGGCTTGAAAATCTCCATGCTGTTTTAGAGGCAAGGAATCTCAGGAAGTCATTTAACCTATGCGAAAAGTGCGTTGGTGTGATATGCCCCCTGGAAAAGCCCAAAGGTATAGATCTGGGATCAATCACCAAAATGCCATCCCCCAGAGAAGCCCTGCCCCATTTGCACTTCCTCCTCCCTTGCCTGCTGCCACCTGGTAACTTGATCCCCACCCTCAGGAAGGTGGCAGGGGGAGGAAAATGTAACATGAAGTGGTGGGAGCTTCCTAATGATTTGGTTAGCCTACACTTGTACTACCTTGGCCCACATGTTTCAAGGACTGAGGGGCAGATAGTACTAGACAGGCCACCATACAATAAGGCAATACTCTCTCTTTCCAGTTCCAGCTCCTCAAGATGTGGAATTTTGTGGAGCTCAATCAGGCAGGATAGGAGAGGGATAGTAGTAGCTCACAGCTGAGCCAGTTCTTCCTCTTCCATTTCGACCAGGCCAGGGTGGGGCAGAGGCTCATGCCTTCTTGCACTTAAAGGGCAGACTTAAAAAGGCCAGAGGGAAGAATATCTGAAAACCTGACTTTCTAGCCCCATAGGTAGGGAGCCCACCTAGAGATGAGTAGACTTAGGTTCAAACCCCACCTCCCAAGATTGATAACCCACAGTATATTTTCTGCTTCAATTAATATATGGGCAATATTAAAATAAAGAAAAGGCAATCAAAGCCCCTCACAGTACTTACACAATATATGAGATTCCACAGAACACAAAGATCATTTTGGATTACTAAATATACACTCTTGCTGTACAATTTACCAGGAGATATACTAATGGTACTATCCATAAGGACCTCAAGCTAGTTTGTTGTATTAAAAAGACAATAATGAACTTAAAATAATTTGGCTAAATTCAACCCTGGTATAACCCCTTTGAAAACAGTGGATTTATATCTGGACCGAATGTGATAAATTTGCATTTAAACTGACTGCCCATTGGGCTCCTTTCCAGTCACTGATGCTCTCAGCCGCTCTCAAGGAAAAAAAAATGACATACCCATTTTGAAAATGCTGTTCAAGGTCACAACGCTGTAATATCTCTGAGCACTGTTCTGTGAAAGGGCAGCTAACCATTAGCTTATCCAGAAGTTTATATACTAACATGCTGGACTTTCTGCAAGACTGAAGAATCACAGGTTTGCGATCCATGGGGCAAAAGTCTTTTTCCAGTAGGAAATTTGTAAGGCAGATTGTGCAGTAAGTATGACCACAAGGAGTGTCCAATGGCTGAAGCAAAGCTTGTAGGCAAATATGGCATATTAGATCATCATCTACTTCTTCTGTGTAGCTGTACAAATGGGGCTCTTCTGGTAAATGTGGTTGGCCACAGGTAATACATAAAGCTTGAGGGGCATCTTCCATTTCTTCTGATGAGTCTTTCTGGCTCATAATCAGATCCGATGCAATTCAAAAGACAGCAGGTAAAAACTGTTCTCTATTTAGAAAAATATCAGCAAGTCCCATGAACATCAAATCTGTAGGAAAAAGCCAAGGAATTGTGTCTCAGGGTTGTTTTTTTAAATAACATTTTTATGATTTATCTGGATAGTCTATATCTGGAAATAAAATGTTCCAGTGATTTTATAGAAAGATTTTACCTTAGGGCAGGAAAATAGCTAATCCTATAATTTATTTTCTATTTGGCTTTACTTCCCCACCCCTGCTATGAAAAAGATATTCATATAGGGAGTTCAAATAATGAGGGGAGAGGAGAATGTTGCTAGTATTTAAGAGTTAAAAACATCAAGCACATATAAAACTGCAGCTCTAAAAGTTAAGCTCTTCCAATATATCAGTTCAAAGCATGTAAGTCACCTGATTTGTTTTTCCTACAGGGGAAAAAAAAATCTGTCAGTAACAAAGCAGCATCATGTGAAGGCAAAGTAGTGTGGGGCTGCATGCAGAAATATCATTAAAAATAATGATTACCTCCCTTGCCATTGGCCCAACACCAAATGGGAAACCACTTTAATATCTTGTAACCTACTCTAACATACGTATAGTTACACACTTCATTACCCATTCAGCAGGAGGGAGGAAGGGACACAGGTTTATAACGAATTAAAGATTTAGAACTCCCACAAAAACAGGCTTCACCATGTCACATAAAATGAGAATGGGTTATTTTCTGAATAATTATGCCTCCATATTACCTCCCACATTTTTCTGCACTAATACATTTTGATGAATATCCATTCAAACATTGTCTCCCTTACAGAAGAGAAAACAAAACATATAGACAATATTATTGCCAAACCCACTGAGCAAGACTATTTCGTTACATAGATGTGAAAGATGGATCTTGGGAGGGCAGAAAACATTTCTACTGAAATGTGTGGGGTATGACTGTAATCCGTCTTCTATCGACTTCCCATGCAGCATGCTCACTGACTTCAGAAGAATTACTTCCTTACAACACAAAGCCAGAAATGAGCAGGTCTTTTGTATTGTTATTAAAGTAACTAGTAGCTATAGTCCAGTTTCAAGAGAACAAGTGTCTTAGCTAAATCTGGACACCCTACTGTAGTGCTTCCCAAACTGAGAAAATGGGGTTGCAACATCAGTGGTTGGGGTTACAAGATTTCTGCACCCATAGCAGGGTGCTGGGCTGCAATAGGGCTGGACCAGCTCCAGGCAGAAGCTGCCTCTGCAGCCAAGAAGGTGGGACCCCATGGAGGAGGGATCGCTGCACTGTCATAGCTGCCAAGGTAAGGTGCAGCAGTGGCGGCGGCATGGAGTTGTCTCTCTACTGCTGCTGGGTGGGCAAGGGGCACCTTAGCCATGATGGCATGGTGCAGCACTCCCTCTCATGCCAGGTCCTGCCCACTGGGCTGTGGAGCCCCCAGGGGGAGGGCATCAGGGCAGGGAGCCCCTAGCCCACAGCAGGCAGCCTGCATCCTTTCCTAGGCTTGTTTTCCCCATTGCCCAGAGGTCTCCTGTCTCTGGTGCTGGTTCTGCCTGCTGGGGTTTTTGTTGGCCAGTGAGCTGCTCCCTCTTTCACCTCCCCACAGTGGCTGCCCTTCAGTCTAACTAGCTGCCTTCCTTTAAGGTGACAGGCCACCCTGTTACAGAGTCCCAAAAGCAACAAGGACTGAATGCCAAAAGGAAACTGCCTTCTTACCACTAGAAGTGATGCCTCTAAGCTCCAGACTGAAAAACATTGCTGTGGTGTTCGAGGAAGGCTGTAGCACTGCAGCTGTTTTACAACTAAAGGAGGTAAGTTTAGTTTCCAGGGCTGCCAGCCCACCTACCTCACAAACAGTAAAAATGGCAAACATGCACATGGATCTAATAAAAAGTATCACACCATTTATCACAGACAAATGCATATGCAAATACATTGCATCAAAGCTTATTGACCAAAACCAGAGATCATTAAAATCTACTTATACTTGGAGTGAAAGATGGAGTTTCCAGATACTGTACCAACAGACACACAGACATTTCATTTATCATAAACAATGAGCTTCCTAAGTACAAGCCAACATATTACATTCAATTTTGTGTTTAATTTTTAATACTGTGTTTTTGTTCTTAAATATTTTGAGGTTTTCCCTTGTACATAGACATACCATTAGCTCCTCCAAGAAGTCCATGGTATTTTAGACTGACTATTCAAAAACGATGACATCATAGAACAGGGACGTAAGAGTCTGAGGTCATGTCTATATCACCTCCAGGACAAGCCAAGGTATAGTGCCAGAAGAAGGTTCCACCCGTTCACATCAGCACTGAGTGTGCTCAAGCCTGCAAATCAGGCTGTGGAAATGATGGCTTAGAGCAGCCCTGTGTGTGTGACTCAGCATTGCCCTCAGGCTCTTTGTCTCATTAGAACCTGAGCACAATGCTGAGGTGCATATTCAGGGCTGACCCAAGATGCTTATGCAACCTAATTGGCAGGTTGGGGCACGTGCAAAATGGGGAGGGTCATGTTTCTTTCCGGCACTCCCAGGCATGCCCTGGAGGTGGTTTAAACCTGGCCTAAAAGTCTGGTGAGACGTTTCCATGTTCTGCAGCATGCAGGCCTCAAATTCAATATATTGCCCCTATTCAGCACAGTCCTTAAGAGCATAATAAAGGCCTCTTGAAATTCATGTGCTCATGCACAGTCTTAGAGGCCATCATGGCTACAACCTATACCCCATTCTTAGATGCTGCATTCAATAGGGTACGGGCTGTGTTGTGGGATTTATTGGGACCTTTATTTGGGGTGCAGACAGAAGTGACAATTTTTGCCTGATCTGGCCACAGAAAGCAGTCTATAGCCATGACCAAACACTAGTACAAGGCTGCAAACAGTTTCCAAAATGGCTAATCTGGTGTAAATCGGACCCCTCATTACATGAGGGATCAGATAATGATGTTTCAAAATGTAGCAGCTTCTGTAACTTGCGACTGCTGAGCTTGTTCATTGCTATTTTCAGAACAGGAGTGGGGAAAGGCAGAGGAGGGAGTTCAGTCTGGCAGTTTCTCAGCCCGTCCCTGGATGGTGGGTGGGGTGGGTGTATTGGAGCTCCCCCCCAACTCCAAGGTGGGCACTGGCTGGGGAGCCCTAAGAATGAGCTCCCTCTGCTGCCTTTCCCCCTCCCATTCTGAAAACAGCAGGCACTGGCAGAGAGCTGTGACCATGGCTATGGAAACCTGGCTGCAGGCTCCCAGCCCACAGCTAGATTCCCTTCCCCCCTGGAACCAACCCTGAACTTCTGTTTGGTCTGGGGTAATGTTGTAACTCAGAACACTTTGCAGAAAATGTTCTGAGT